CGCCAGCGCCACGAGCCGCGCCCAGAGCTGCGACCAGAAGCGCCAGGCGTCGTCGCGCGGCCGACGCGGCGCTCGGATCGGACGGCTCGGACGCGTCGGACGGGTCGGATGCGAGGATTTTTGTTTGGTCGTTCAAAGCCCCAAGAACGACCCAAGCCACAAAAAAACCTAGGCTTAAGATGTTGGGGAATTTTGTTTGTTGCAACCCGAAATTGTGGAATGGGTGAATTCCAACTTTTTGGTTTGGGGGGGGATAGTTTGAGGGTTCAGGGAGGTCCGTCAAGGGACCCACATGTCACACTTGAGTTGGGAGCCATGTTAGTGGGGTATTACAAAACAAAAGCCGCCTTCTTTTGGGCCCAGCCACTTTGGGCATATTTGTTGCTTTGCCCTCAAGAGACATATTTGTTCAAGGGCTCAGGGGCTACAAATTTGACACACGGCTATTGTCCCTCATGGAGAAGAGCGGTTCCTTTCAACCCGGCAAGCCCATGATGATTGAGGCCCGTAGGGTCTGCCTGGTTTCCCTTTGTCAGACCAAGTGGGTGTGGTTCTCAAAATTAAACGATCGGAGGGGGGCACACCGCAGGTTTTGGTTTCCATGTTTCCACTTACCAGGGCAAGCCATTTTGGAATTCCGGTTTTTTGAGCCACAGCCAAGTGTTTTCTTTGGCAAGATACGAAGCAGTGCAAGAATTGAGATCCCAACAAGCAAGTGGTCGCCGCAAGTTAGTAGACTGTCATGGCCCCTAAAATGATGGGCTGCCTGCTGATTCCCCTTTGAAACCAAAAGGCTGCCCTCAAAATCAGCTCAGGTGGCATCCCCCCGAAATCTGGCAGAGACCCCATAGCTTTCAGCTGTTGATGAAAAGGGGTGCCCTCAAAAGAATCACAAATTGGGCTTAGTTGTGCAGCCTGTTTGTTTAGGATTCTGGCTTCCTATTGTGTGTGTGTGCCTGCAAAATGACCTTCAGCACATACGTCGTAACAATATGTAAATATATATATATAGGGTACTCTATTCCGCCCTGTTCAGGTTGGTTTAAAGCTCACTCCCTGAGTTCACGAACTTGAGACTTTTTCGGTGACCATTTGGGTGGCTTGGAGGTTTATTTGGCCAGTCCACTCACGGGTTTGAGGAAAACCACAGGGAGGCCCATCCAGTTTCTTTGGCCCGGCTGGAAGGCTTGGAGCAACCAGGATGTGTTATGTGTTTCTGGCTTTGAAGGGAATCCATCACTAAAAGGACATATGTTTTTTTTGTATACATATATATATATATTCCGTAGGACGACTTCTGAGCCAATGATTTGGCGAGTTTCCCTTGGGCGCCATTTCAGGGGACTGGGGACTCGCCGAGTCCTGTCGATGGCTCGGGAGGCCATCGAAGAGGCACACCTCTGGCAGCTCCAGCAAGAGCGCGCCAGGTGCGAAGAGCTCTCCGCGCCCCGGCAGCACAAAGCTTCAAACAAAGCTGGGGTAGACTTAGGATACATTTTTTACATTTTACATTTAGACTTAAAGTGAAGCAAACAATAAGATATACATTCTATAACTGGGCCTAACTCCTATCATGAAAGGAGCAGGAGTGCTGCTGTAGGGCAGAAAAATGGAGTTGCAGGGAAGGAAAGTACCAGGTTTAGGGAGTTGTGTTTTGGGTTGGGAAACATGTTCTCCCTTCAAAAAGGCCGGACGAAACAAACCCTTCAGACTGGGGGGCTTTGTCTTACAGAAGCCCCAGATGGCTCGTTTCAACCGGCAAAGAAGTCCGGCTCACCTTAGGCGAAAAAGTTGTTCTTAGTTGGTTTAGTGGTCGAGTTTCCGTATTGAACCCACAAGCTGAACTTTTAGCAGGGGATCAGAAAACGGACAGCCCTACATGGGGCTTGCCCTCTTTTGGGGTTACGCTTGAAGGGAAACCAAAAGGAAATCCACAGTTTTTAACGGGGTACCCCTTTGATACATGGATGGCTCTTTTTACTTTACACTTCCTCTCAAAAAGCATCGCTCCACCAGGAGCGACCCGAAAATGAGGCGGGTTTCCCCACATACAAACACCGACAAAGAAACAACCCCAAAAAGTCAAAAAAAGTGGCGTTTTCCCTCAAACCCAAAAACTTAACCCTTACGCCTACCCACTCTTAGATGGCAGGGTATGAGGTCAACCCTAAGCTGAAAAAAGCAGATATGAATCCTGGTGTTTTACTCTGCAAAAAATGCCCGTAAAACTGGTTGCAGGTCTAAGTCCGGCCCTGGAGGAGCATACCAATCAGGGGGTTGCCGGAGTATGATCCATGGTCCTTTGAGTAGTAGGGTCCTCGTTACGATTACCTTTTTCCATTTGGCGGGTCCTGAATCGTTCAGTTGGTCACTGTTTTGGGCTCCAAGCTTTTCTTCTGTTCGCTTCTGATGTTGGGCGGAAAACATGGATATGAGAGTAAACGCGTTCTGAGCTTGTGGCCGGTTTTATCCCAGCAAGTAAGCGGACACAGGCAGGAAATGAATCGTGACGTATCCATGAGAGATGTTCCATCGTGCGGTTGCTTCCTGCAAGGAGCGTTTTAGATCGAAGCAAGCATGTTTTGCTCGATGAGGAAAACAACCAGAAACAATGGAAAAGACCCAGAACGTTTGTTGGTAACAGGGAAGTCATATCGTTCCATTCCGTTGGGTGTCTTGGGTGAAATGGATTTTGTCCATCCACAGGTGTCTTTATCATTTGAAGCAATTCCTCAGGCCAAGCGTTTGGTCTTTGGCGGCCATTCAGGAGGGACGTGGGCGACACTCTAGATCTCCCGCAACACTAGGGATTTGTTCCATATCCTTTACAGGAACTGCAGATGTGGGCCACAGCTTGGTTCTAAATTCAGGTTCAGGCAGTTGTTTTTCCATTTCTTCGTTGTGTTCCCCCCTTTTTCTCTTTTTGCGGATGGTTCCACTTGATTTTTCCAGGTCAAACAAAAACAGCAAACACAAGGTACTGGCCTTGATCATAAGATGATCCACCTTTCTCTTCACCCATGGCTCCTTTGAGAAACCATCCAACTTCTTAGTGCCTAGCTATGGAAAGCCGTGGGATTGCAGCTATGCCTGGAGCATTTCACTAAACAAACCACGGGGTGGGCTCCCGATAGTTTAAACAAGCAGCTTTCACCAAGCCGCTTTCTTTCATGCCAAGCTGGTGGCACTGTCCATTGATTTGTTCTCTTCCTTCGACAAAATGGGGCGGCTCATGTTCTTTTTTCCAAGGACCCCACATGGATTTTGGTTTTCCAGTGAAGCCAACTCGGGGTCCAAAAAAGGCGAGCCATCGGGGACCAGTTGTTTGAGGGTGTGTTGGGTTGGATTGAAGGTGGATGGACGAAATCCATGTCGCACCACTTTGAAACCAATGGATTGAAACTACGGTTTGTTGGTATTTCCGTCGGGGAAACATAAAATCACTCCGTCGGAGTGTCTGATTTCGGTGGTGCAAATGGAGAAAGGCGGATGACTCGCGAAACCATGACTTGCTGGCTCCCAGCCCTCCCCTTAGCTTTTTAGATCCTTTTACTGTGAAGTGGTTGGGTTTCCATTTCACCCACTAAAAGTCAGACTTTTAGCAGGGGATCTCAAAGCGGGCAGCCCAGATGAGGGCTGTGAGACTCGGGGCGCGTTAAGCTGGGCGGCCCAGGCGCAGCTGATGCAGAGCCGGCGGGAGGTGCAGGTCTGGCGCCTGCGCTTGGAACATCTCGAGGAGCTCCGGCCCAGGACCGGAACGCACCGGAACGACTTTTTCCGGCTGGTGGTTGGTTTTTGGCAGAGAATGAGTTGGTTGTCGTTGGGAAACCTTCTGACATTTTTGCTTATCGTGGTTTAGTGGTTGAAATCCAGCCACTTAACTGCCAACATTTAAATTGTTGCTCCCCTTCCAACGTCAACCAAGATGAGTTGGAATGACCCCGAACTGAACCATCCCTTGTCATCTTAGGGAATGCCCAAAACCGGTTCATTCCCAACACCCGGAAGGTCATTCCCTACTGAGCACCAGCAAGTTTTCGCCGCTGTGTGCCTTTGCATAAACAAATCAGCCCCAAAAGTGGACGAAAAAGGACAGACTGACTTGGGCGGTCTTTTGTTGGAGTAAAATTCTAAAGGAACAGCACTATTTTGGGGAGTTCCAGGGACAAGAAGAAGGTCCTGAAACTCCTGCAACAGCATACAAGTGGGCACCGGTGGGACTTGAACCTACGACCTGCTAGGAAATGCTGCCATGGCGCCACGAACCCTTTGGATTCCTTGCCTTTGGGCCCCCAAGATAGGTGAAATGCAATTCTGTCAATTCTGCTTGTCGGTTTTGCGAGACGGGAACATTGAAACCCAACAAGGAAGATTCGTCTGAAACTCGTGCCATAACCCCCCGCCCGATTCTTTCCTGGGACGGAACCTTGCGAAAACGACCCTCCCTCCGAGCATTTACCCAATAAGGACGACTGGAAAATATTTCCCGGTAAATCAATCCTCATACTCCACCCGGTGCCGCATGACAGCTTTAAGCCTATTTCAACGGCTGTGACCAGTTGGCTTGACCTTCCTATTTACATTCGCTTTGACAGACAGGAACTGACAGCCATAGTCTGAAGCTTGAGGCTCCCACCAGGCAGACCACCAGCGACAGGCTGAAGCGAGCGGTGGCCGGACGGGGACAGCTGTCACAGGCCGAAGCAGTGGCCCAATGAAGCAGGAAGCAACATTTTACGGAAACAGCTGCGGCCGCTATTGACCTTGCTTCCTTTTTCTGTCCTGAGTTTCTTCGCTGCGTCGGCCAGCAGTCTTGAGGCCCCGTAAGCAAGCCTGTGTGCTTGCCGTCTAGCTGAACCCAGCAAACTGTGCACTTGGTTAAGAATATGTCATCTGTTTCCCCTTGCTGGCTTTACAGCCCGGAACTTGTTATTTTCTTCTAGGGGGCTTGCACAAACGGAGGTGAAGTATGTTTTTGGGCGCCGGGAAGGACGCCGGATCCGCCGGATCCGGCGCGGCCGCGGCGGAAGTCCACAGAGTGGCAGATGCAGGAGCGGATCAAGGAGCTGGAGGCGGGAGGGGGTTTACGAGAGCCCCGAAAAAGCGGGTGCGATCGCTACTTGGATGATCCGACTTGCGAGGGGGGGTTAGTCTTCCCTGTTGTTGGCACCGGTTCTAGTTGTCGAGGTATTTATGTTGGGTTCGGTTCATTTTCGGGCTGCAAAAAGCAAAAAGTTTCTTGCTACACGGCTTGGAAAGTAGTTATCCCGCACCGAAGCGGGGCGGTCCAAGCGGCTGGATCCCACGGGCCAGCGCCCTCTCTGCACAAATGACTTTTGGTTTCCCTTTACCAACCAAATGGGTGTGGCTCAAAATTAACCAGGAGGGGTTACGCAGGTTTTGGTTCATGTTTCCACTTACCAGGGTTCCTTTTTGGCACCGGTTTTTTGAGCCACAGCCAAATGATCGGTTTTGAGATACTCACATTTGATGGCCTAGACCCGAAGTTCTCTGCGAGGTTGTGAACTCCTTGGCAAGAAACTTGAATCTAGTTTCCAAAAGCAAAGCTTGCAGAGGAAGCCAGCATGATTTGACAGCATTGAGGGTGCCACCTGGCAGTTTTCCGGGTGCAAGAAAAATGGAAACAAGAGTTGAGATACACTCAAATACTGAAATGCATTTCACGCCTGTTTGATTATCATGGTTGAAACCGTTGGCATTTACAGGAAAATGCATGAATCATTCCGTTCGGTTTCTGATTTTGGTGGTGCGAAATTCGCGGATGACCCGCAACCCTCCACAGTAGGAGGGTTTGTGGGTTGTCGACTCCACACATGGTTTTCCGGGCGCAACAAAGAAGTGGATAACCCCCCCACAACAGTTTGAGATGCACCCAGATGGCCAGAATTCGGGCATAACCTATGGCTCCATTTTGGGGAGGATGACATCCATTTGCCACCTATTTTGATGTGTTTTTAGGGGTACAGGTGTCAAAACCCACAGCCTAGGCCCAGATCGAATGGTTTGTGTCAGGGCACCGTCCAGCAGCTCCGGAAAGAGCAGAAGGCCGACCGCGAGGCGCGCGCCTCGCGAGGCTTCAGACAGCTCCTGAGTTCCGTTTCGGAGAGTTGGGTCGCTTTTTGGGTTGGACGGTTTTGCAAAGAAGAGGTTTAGCACATAAAAGAAAGAATGTCCAAAAGAATTCCCGTAGAAACCGTTTGCAAGCAATGGTTCTAGCCCATCAACTCAGGATGTCAGGATTCGATCCGAACCATCGGGGATCAAGTGGAGCCAGAAGGAACCACAGATTTTCATCTGCTTAAGACTTAAGACTACTACTGGAAATATGTCTGATTTGTTGCAGGGGGAAAATGCAAATGGAAGAAAGGAACTCTCCCGACCAAATGAGGAACTTGAAGCTTATTAAGTTGGGTGCCAAAAGGAATCCAGTTGAGACATCAAAAGAGTGCCTGGACTTTATTCTTTCCCGACCAATTGCCGGCTCTTCCAAGGGGAAATTTATGTTTCCCGACCGATTGGCAGCCACGCCCTTCCTGGACATTAGTCACTTGTTGGGTCTGGACCAGTTTAGTGGTTTACTCATAAAAAACAAACTTTGGTGCATTTTGCTTGGATGTTAGGACTTTAACTTTTTGCCAACTAATGGGTTTTCTATTAAACCACTAAAAGCTAAACTTCAGCAGGGGAGCAGAAAGCAACCGAGAAAATGTGGGCTACTTCGGTTTCAGTTTCAGTGACAAAGCTAAGATGGACCTGAGTCTTTGAGCCGGAACCAAACGAAATTGAGCCTTCTTCTTTGGTTTGATTCCCCATTCTCTCTTTGCCCAGCAGTCTCTTTAGACACCACCTATGGTCCAGGAAATTGGCCCATGTTTTGTTTTGAAGAGAACCATTGTTGAAGAGAATGGGGAGGGGACGGCTGGACTTGCAGCCATCATGGCCCGTAAGTTTTTGTCGGCCTTGTCCACTGCCGTCCATTGCGGCGTCAGAGCAATTTCAAGGGTTCTCCTTTGGCTGGTGCAGTCGTTGGGAAGTAGGATAGGACCTGTTCTGTGTGAGCCTTTGAACTGAGGCCTCGGCATGCCTCCTTTGATTTTATTTGCACTTGGTTTGCCGATGGTTGGCTCGTCTTTTTTGAGGCCTCCATGAATCAACCAGGCCAGTGAATCCCTGTTACCACCCTTCGCTTCGAGTTGCCACCACAGCAGCTCACTCCCTGCGTTCCTGGACTTGAGTCACCTTTTGAGAAGACAATTTTAGTGGTAAACGAAAAGCTCATACCTTATTTTGGCCAGTCCACTCAGGAAGTGAGGTAGGTAAAATATGGCAAGGGGGACGTGTAACATGTAACGCCTCGAGGTAAGAAACTCTGGTTTTGTAGGAACTGGGTACTCCACTCGCAGATCGAACTCGACGCCAAACCCACCGCAATCCCAACCCTTGGTTGAACATACGCAAACGTTTACGTCACTTGCAACCAAGCGAATCGACCGGGCTTGTTCTAGTTTGCCTATTTTTGTGCACTTTTAGTCATGGCCCCAAAAGGTGAGTCAACTTGTATTTCTTCGTCCCTAGCGAACCCTTTCCGCCCGGAAACTGCTAAAGCCCTTCCCGTGTCAAACAGACCGGCGCCAACAGCCGGAACCGCGAGAACCAGGTCCCACATGTTTCTACAAAATGGCTGCGGACACCCAAATAACTCTCCGCCAAAGAAAAAAAATGGGCATGCTGCGGGTAGACGAAATCCATTTGCTTCTCGCACCTTTGAGAAATTCTGTGGAATGATTCGATTGCCTTGTACCCGGGCATTGACTTTGGAAGAGATTCTCAAGCATGTTCTGCGCTTGTCTTGTAAAGGCAGAAGTGATGTGGAAAAGGCGCTCACACAGGCACTCGCTGGGATGCTCGGCACCTGCTGCGGTGCCGCTACATATTGTCTTGTTCCTTTTGGAGTATGCCCTCCCTCAAATTGCTGTGATGGGTGAGGGGGAAAGCGTCTTCACTCAATGTCGAGTGCGAGCAAAGGCCCCAGACAATCGCGCCTTCTACATCACGATCTTGAGAAAAGGCCCGCACAAGATGCATAGCATGGAGTTGCACTTCGCGGACGGCAAGCGTGATGGTGTCCGTGGCGCGAGAAGAAACGGAGGACTCCATTTCCCTAATTCCACAGTGGCAACCTGGTTTTTTTCTTTGGGCTTGCTCTATTGAGGCTCCCCTTTGTTTTTCACGCACCAGGCAAACAAAAGGATATTTTTCCTTCTTCTTCTTTTTTCGCAAAGGGTCCTAGTTCCCGCCAACAATCTAGGGGTTGATTCTCCATTCTTTTCAACCATCGTTCTTTCCAAAACCAGATCCGTTTTCCCCGAGTTTCTGGAGGTGTTCTAGAAACATCCGGATCCCTGGATTCAGAATGGGGGAGGTACCCTGAACAAAATGGCATAAATTTCACCCATCTTGGGGGCCCAAAGGTGGGGAATCAGGGCCCTTGGCGCCACAGTGTACCCCACCGCGTCCCCTAGGAAACATCCCCCCCACGCGTTCCCCAAGCGCGGGGTTTCCGCCGGCCGCCGGCCGCGTCAGATGCTCCGGGACGTCTGCGCCCACCGGGACCGGCTGCAGCAGCTCCGGAAGTCCGAGGAGCGGCTCAGGCGGTGCGCTCGGGGCCGATGGAGCCGAGGGGTGCCCGACCTCGAGAGAGACCTCTCACCGTTCCTTTTTTTAGGGGTTTGGGGTTACCCTACTAAAAAAGGCAGAAAAGAGAAAGTTGGTACCAACTTATTCTAGCCTCTCTGCTGGAGGAACTAGCTGTTGTTTGAGAGAGAGAAGAAGAAACTTGTGAGCATGCCTTGCACCTGCATTCAATCTCTTTTTGGTCTTAGACCTGGCAGCCAGTTCCAGCTTCACTTTAACGGGACGTGAGAGTAGATGGGTTCCCTCCGCTGGCCGAGATCAACTTCTTCCCGCCCCCCCCCCCAAAACCCCCGGACCCTACTGGGGATGGACGAAATCCGCTTCGCACCTCCTGGAAACCATGATGAACTGATTGTTGGTTGGTATTTACAGGGGAATCAAATCATTCCATGGTTTCTTAGGTGGTGCACAATTTCGTCCATACTGTATGACCACCCTCTGACCACCAACGAGCAAACGAGCAGAAAGGAGTGTTCCAAGCACCTGCCAGTTCCAGTCGCTGGATGTTTTGTGGGGATGCAGAAGCCGTGAGGGGGAATCACATGGGGCACGCTCAAAATGCAATGCGGGGGGCGGGGGGGAGGGAGGCGGGGGAGGGGGGACACGATGAACATTGATTCCTTCCATTGGCTGAAATGACTAGTTTTTATATGTTTCCCTTGTTGGCTTAAAAGGGAAGCGATTTCACGACTGGATTGTTTATATGGTTTTCCAGACGTCTGAAGCAACTGGAAGACTTTCGGAAGAGAAACCCAAGTGGGTGGCTACGTTGGTTTTCTTCTTTTTTTCCGGGTGCTGCATGGGTTTGCCCGTTTTCTGGAGGGCCGGTTTGGTTTTGGGCGGAGTCTGAAAGAGAAGCACGGCTCGCCTTTTCTTGAGGGGCCCCCTTTTTCCTTTTTGGGGTCGGTGTTAGGGAAGCCAAAGGGGAACCCATCATTTCTGGGGATGTCCTATTTGCTTCGCGGCCGAAGCCTGGAGTGTTTTCCTGGGCTTCCCCGAAAACGGGAACACGCCTCAAACCAAACACAATGTGGGTGTGTCTTTTTGTAGGCAACCCCCGGCTCAAAATAGGCGGCTTTCCTTTTGGTTTTCGATAAACCACAAAAAAGGCACCACCTACAGAAAGTTTTAACATCACCTTTTTTGTGTGACTTTCCGGGGTGAGCTCTTTTTGGATGGCACCCACGTTTTGCTCGCACCTTTGTGGCTGGCGTTCCATCGCTCAGGCAGCGGGGCTCGCCTTCTGCGCCTTCCGCGCTCTCCACGCAGCGGTCCATCGCCAGCTCTTCCAAGGCGCTGTCCCGAGCCATGGGCTGAGTTGGGAAACATTTTGTGGCTGGGGTAGACTTGGGATACATTTTACATTTTACCAGTGACTCAAAGTGAAGCAACAAATAAAATATTCATTCTATAGCTGGGCCTAACTCTAATCATGGTGGTTTATTGGTACTTGGTTGTTTTTGTTGTTGTTGCTTGTTGTGGTTTAGTTGTTGAAATCCAAGCAACTATCCTCCATCCACACTTTGGGTCTGTCCATTGGTTGGACCGGAACGGATCGGAACGACCTTTTTTCTTCTTTTATTTTTTCGACTGCTGGTTGGTTTTCGGCAAGGAATGACATGGTTGTTGTGGGGAAACATGTTACATGTTAGCTTATTGTGGTTAAGTGTTTCTGATATCCAACCACTTAGCTGCTAAAATTGAAAAATGTTTGCTCCCCTTCCAACGTCCACCAAGTTCTGGGCACACCTACTGTTACTCTGGGGCCGTCCATGGGCGGTTCAGAGACCCTAGGCATGAAAAGAATGGCAAGGACCCCATTTCATGCTCGTTGTTGGGAAACATTTTTGGGTCGGTCCATTTGTAGGTTTTCCGGAAAACCAAAAGGAAAACCAAATCATGTTGGAGGGGTCCCCGTGTTGTGTGTTTTTTTGGATAGTTGCTAAATCCACGACATCATGGTTGTTGTTGGGAAACATTTTACATGTTTGCTTATTGTAGTTTAGTGGTTGAAATCCAACCCCTCAACTGCTAAAATTGAAAAATGTTTGCTCCCCTTCCAACGTCAACGGGGTTCTGGGCACACCTACTGTTGCTCTGGGGTGCAGCTGTACGTGGGCCGTGGCTTCTCTAGCCGCGCTGCGTGCGCGCTTACGTGCGAAGTTGATGTGTTTTTTATTTGGTTTGCTCCTGTAGAAGTATGGGAAAAGCTTCACTGTTGGCAGCGCATGTTTGGGTGATTTGCCTCTTTGGTTCTGTGTCCGCACCAACCTAGACCTATTTGGTATTTTGTTGACCCTTGGGAGAGAGAGCAGGATCGCCAGTTACCAACAGAAAGCACCTCCTGCAGACATCTGCGACTTTGCGAAAGCCTCCAGTGGGCGCGTTAGACATTGGAAGAGCCTCGTTGCGAAACCCTGAGCTTTGTTAAAGTGTCCTGCCATGGCCCCACCACAACTGGGAGGGACCGGGGAGGCTGCCCAGTTTGGAGTTTGGGAGCATCTTTATCGAGCGATCAAAAGCCTGAGCCGACTTTGGGTGGCAAGGCTTTTGTACATGCAGATGGGGCAAGGTTCTCATCGGTAGATTCTCAGCTTCTATGAGCGGCCACTAAAAAAAAGCTGGGACGACGTCATTTCTTGTCTACCCTTGGCAAGGCGTCATTCTGCGGACCTTAACCCTTCAGGCCTCCCTCCCCTTTGGGTGAGGATGCAGCAATGGACTCACAGTCCTCTTTGTGCTTTTGGTGAAAAATAATTAGATGGCACTGGTTTAGATGCATCTTCCATTGACCGGGGCCATCTCATCTAGTCCAAAAGGTCATCTAGGACTGGACCGTTTTGGTTTTGCGCACTCTGAGACTCGCCGCGACAGGAGAGCTCTACCACCTGCAATCCAACGGATAGCCCGCCGGAGGCGAAATAGCCCTGGCGCCAACGCAAAAGATACCTGCGGGGCTGGGCTGGGCTGGGCTGGGCTGGACTGGGCTGGGCTGGGCTGTCAGTTGGTCGTTTGGTTGGTTAGTTGGTTGGTTGGGTTTGTGTGCAGTTTGTTTGTTTGTTTGCTTGTTTGTCTGTGTGTCTGGATGTGGTTTTGGTGTTGGTGTTGGTTTTGGTGGTTCTCGCAGGAAACAGCCCGCATTTGCGTTTTTGGGTCACTGGGATTCTTGCTTGGAAGTCGGTTTGTGTATTCAGATCTGACGAGTTGGTCGTCTGTGGGCTGCAGGTTTTGGAGTTGCAATCAATTTTCCTGCTGGGCATGAAGTCCGACTCCATTTAGGTGGGGCTGTGTTTAAAGGACCGCCCCAAAATGGTGTTGTTTTCCAATTTCTTGGGTTTAAAGAATTCGCAGCCGTTTGGATTCTCTTGGCGGGTCCCAGGGTGTGTGCGTATACAGATATATACATATATATATATATGTATATATATTGTGTGTGTGTGTGTGTTGGCCTTTGGGTTTCCTTCACAGCATCCGTCATGTCGGGTCGAGGAGCGGAGGGTGCTCGCATCCCGAGCCCCAAAAGGCTCTGCGAGGATTCGAACAGGCTGCAACAGCAACGCAAGACCTGGGCAACGTTCATGCTGGGACGTTTAGAAGGTTGCTGATGAGTACGGTCCTTCAGACTAATGTGCATGAAGGGGGGCACGTGAACAACATGACAGGTATGACTGCCAGGGCCTAAAATTAGCAATTGATACACTGTGGTGTCTAATATGTTTCTTCATGCTGTGGAAAGACAGGGCCTAGCATCAAGCACAAGACGATGTTTGGATGTGCCGGTGGAAATGCTTCGCCATTTGACAGTCCCTCAAAGGGTGCAAGCTTATGGGAGCTATCACTCACTTTCGCTTCAGCAAGGAAACGGATTTGCATTTCGGGTCCATCGAGGCAATGCGCATGGATTGTCGCACCTCTTGGCTCAAGCTTTGCACTCCAAGTTTGACGCTGCACAGATAGGAGTGGACGCCAACGTAAAATTTTGCAGGATTCGCTGCACATTCGAGCTACGAGTTTTAGCTTTTCTACAAAAGAGGCTAGTTTGCTCATCGCCATGTCTCAAAAGGTGTGTGCCAGTCTCTGCAAATTCGACACTTTTCAGGTTGGTTTAGACCGGGACTTAGGAAACCCGAAGCCATTTTGCAGGTGCCCCACAATTCGGAAACCCGACACCTCAACGGACTAGGTGCCATTTCCCTTTTACGGGCCCCGGTGCTCAACGGACCAGGGCCATCCTCCGGTTTTCCAGGTGCCTAACCTCAACGGAAGCCCGACACCTGCCCTTTCTTCTGTTTCCGTCTTGCTTCGTTCCGTCTGCGCGATGTCCTACGGGCTCCACGGGCACGAAGCCCGGCGTGAAAAACCCCTCACTGAGCCACCACTCATGGACTTTAGTTACTTTTGGGGCTTGGACCATTGCGGCAAGCAGAAAGCTTTTTTTGGACTTTTTGTTGGCCAGTCCAGTCAGGAAGTGGAGTACTGGGATGTTCAACCAACCTGGTAAGTAGTTTACAACCATGTTTGCAACGGGAGTAACTGGGCTGATCGGGCCGCTTATAACTTATATAGCTCATAATCAAGCTACTTGGTAAGTTGGTTGAACACCCAAGTGCGCAGCCGCAGTTGATCATCCAAGCGTCCTTTGAGGATAGTTTGGGGGAAGCCGTGGGTAGGTTTCTCCAAGAGCCGGAGAAAGGCGATTCGCAGGATTCATGGGGATGCAGCTTGTCACAAGGGCACCCCGCAATTTTGAGAGAGAAGCAGCCCGTACCACCCCCAAATGCGCTGGAAGTGAGGGAAGGAGCACTGGGAATGAATTTTGGCCGATTGGGACACTTCCACATGGTTGTTGGGAAACAGTTTACATGTTTGCTTATTGTGGCTTAGTGGGAAATCCCCACTTAACTGCTAAGATTCATTTTGTTTTGCTCCCCAAGCCCAACGTCAACCAAGTCCTGGGCTGATCTAGAAGAGTCGAAGACCTTTGGAAGAACTGAGAACCGGCCCTCGCCGGACTGAGGCTGCGGCTCATCGCCAATGCCACCTACGAGCCCACCGGCCGGGGGCCTTTGATTAAAGCAGGATGTACGTTGTTTAATTGTACCTCACCCTGCCCTTGGTGATTTGCAAGTGGCTGAAAGTTCAGATTTAAAGCCCTGGTTCTTGTAGAGGCTGAAGGGGAGACCCCTCCTTAACGACCAAAACACCGATTCGGCTTCAGACCAATTCGTGGGAAGTTCAATGGGTCCCTTTGCCAGTCCTCCCACGCGAATTCCGTGTGCTTCCTTTCTTTCTGGGTGGTTCCCAGCCATCCGATTCCTGCAGTTTCTTTTAGGTTTTTTGTTGGTTTCGCGGGATTTCCATTTCACCCACAAGGTAAACTTTCAGCAAACAAATATGTTGTGGCTTCACTCTAGAAATGGCGCACCCCCCCCCCCAAAAAAAAAAAAAACCTTTTTCAAGTAGGGTCACTGGCTTGAACTTGTGTCCGGTTGGTCGAAGCTGACATCTCTTTCGAGGGCATCCGGCAGCAGACGTGTCCAGTAAGATGTTGCGCTTGAACTTGACCCCAACCAGCACTCGGGACCCGGCTTTGTTGTTGTTTTTTGCTGTCCGAGCTTCTAAGTGCCAAAAAGCAGTGATTGGGCTGGCTGGTATCAAGTAACTTGGGAACAAGTTCGTGGAGGGCGTTAAATGATGACCTCGCCAGCAAGTTTCGGTGAAGGTCTCCTCCTGCTTGGGTGGACAGCTTTCCAGAAATCCCAGATCTCCGCGCAGTGTGGATGGTCCCTTTTGCGGGTGTCCCTTTTGCGCCGTTTTTTGTGGCATGTTTTGTTGGAAAACCACATGGGGGGCCTGGGATGGTTATTGTGGATATCTCAGTCCCGTGTTGGTTTTAGGTACGGGCTCGAATTGCGGGGCACCAGGCTTCTATTCCATCCTTTTGCGCTGGGGATTGAGCATGCGGATACGTAGATGGCTGTGCTCAACTTGGATTTGGCGCCCTGCAAGGTGGCAGTTGTTCAGCGGCATCCCCAAAATATTTGTTTGGGACGCTTTCGGTCCTACCGTGTTTTTCTTTTCGCAGTGCTGAGTGGTCCAAGCTATGGGTTTGTCTTCGTGGGAAATCCTAGGCACCATTTTGGAGGTGCCTGATTTAGTCAATTTTCCCTAGGGAGCCACGCAACTCAAGTGAGCCACAATCAAAACCCGGGTAGACAAGGCTTAGTAAGGGATAGTCCCAACCATAAATGGTTGCAGCCACCTCTTTGATTCTTGCTGTGGTTC